ATATATATATATATATATATATATATATATATATATATATATATATATATATATATATATATATATATATATATATTTGGTGAGGAATTAATACGGTTTCTTTATACATCTGGAAATTAAGGAAACATCCCAGGAAAATACCTCAAGCTGTCAATTTCCTCCTGTCACATGCAATGCTCATTCAATTAAAATTTAAGCGGCAAACCAATCATTTTATTGAGGAACCAAATCTGCATAATCAATTTGTCGGAGAGAAATATAGACATTCGAAGATGATTAAATTTTTTTATTTGCACCCTATATTTATATCAAACAAATAAATACCTGATATGTTTGTTATACTTAACATTAGTAAATTGATATATATATTCTCACTTCATTTTGTCACTAAACAAGATAAGTTAATATAATTGTATATAAACACCGTAATTTTGTATGATTAACACTGTAGTTTAGATATGAACTTTTCTAGACACAAGTTAATTCCCTTTCCAAGACACAAGTTTAGATAACTTTGAAAGCTAAGTCAACAAGCTTTATATCCCACTGCGACCTGTTTCAACCTCCTAAGTTAATATTATCGATATCTTCTGCCCATGCAATTCATTTCATTCCCAACAAACCTTTTGCTTTCTAGTTTGTTCGCTCAACGAACTTTAATTGCTTACATATACTGACAAAAGAAGGAGAAGAAAGTGATTCGTCTATAACTCTATATCTAACTTGAACCGTTGAAGTGTTTCCAAATGATAAGTTCTTAAAGAATTTTCTTATGTTTCCACCATGTGATATGCAGCTGAGTAGAAATTACTTGTTTGCCAAAACCAGACACCTTGATAAGTAGGGACCAATAATTATTGACAAAATTTTAATGGAATGACATGGGATGCTGAGATCGTTGTTTCGAGGTATAAAACAAAATTTTTCTAATTGAGTCTTATCTCAATTCAAACATCATTTTGGCTTTATAATGCTTCTACATGTTAATTGGTAGTATATATTATCTTTATCAAAGTTTTGGGAAGTCTGGTAGTAATTGTATTTGTAAATATTACTATTTTTCAGCTATGGAGACATAAAAATAAATTCGATATGCTTGTGAAATACACCACTAGGGCTGAGAATTTATTTTAATTAACGTTCTGCTCGTTGTTTACCTACTACAGTAGATAATGGAAAATGTATTAGTGAAAAATAGATTAATTAAAAAGTGACATTTTTCAACAAAATTAAAAAAGGAGTGAAGAATGATGTGTAAAATAAATGCTCGAAGCAAAATACATTAGTATCGTGACTATTAGCCCTGGGATTGATCATGAGAAAATAGAACCGAATCTGGTTCAGAGAATTACTCATAATTAGGAAGATAGAGAGAATCAATTAATCCATCATTACACGAAATTTATCATAATTAAGCGATCAGTTAAAATTACTTAGGTAAGATATAACTAATGCAATAAATAGTGTTAACGGGCAGGAGCTGGACAACAAAATTAATTACGAATAAAAATATTATTTAAACCTCTATTAATTATATTGTATCCTCATTTGAAAATCATTCACTTATTCTCGCAATTACATTGTTCTAACTCAGTGTTTAGTTTTTTTGGCAATTCAGTATTTTGCTTATACGAAAGAAGAGCTATTCAGATCAATAAGATTTTTCTCTTCTTTTATCTTACTACTATTCTGTTCAATTATTATTCATTTTTATATAATTCACAAATGAAAAAGTGAGTGAATCGATTTTTGGAAGCCAAAAATACAAAATTAATTGATTTAACCGCAAAAACTATTTTTAAGGTTATACAGTAAAATAGGTGAGAGCTTTTTGCCAAATTTTACAAAGTTCTCCCCTAAACAATGCGTCTATAACACAAATACCGTATTTGAGAATAATCAGACAATAAATTATAAACAAATATCAATTTTTTAGAAGTTACAATCTCGGTAGTATCTTTAAACTAGTCAATTTATCCGCGCTTTACGTGATGATAGTAAACATTTTCAACTGCTGCTTTTTGACTACAGAGGTTTACATCGCAATCGTAGAGTATAGGTCGTGATCGCGAAGAATAAAATAGAAAAAGTGGACCTGTGAATCGTGCTCGCAGAGGAAACTTCGCGTTCGTGAAGGAGAAATTTTTCTGTCACTGAGCTGACTTCGGAAGCTTATATCTTTCAATGTATAAGGAATTTGGAGATGATCTAAAAAATAAAGTTATAGCCTTTGTTTCTAGTTTTCAGAAAGTCAAACCGTTTGTGAGTTGGAGTTAGGTACAAAACGTTATGGCGGATAAGCTACAGGTTATATGAGAAGAGTTTGGGAAGGTCTAACAGAAACTTGTTCATCGCGATCGTGGGAAAAGGGCCGCGATCGCGAGGGGTAAAATATGTGCTGGAAAATTTGGAATTGCGATCGCGAAGGGTACCTCTGGAGCAGTGTATAAAGTACTCTATTTCAAAGGCCTTGGTCATTTTATCATATTTTGAGCTATAGAGCTCGGATTTAAGCAATTTTGGAGGCGATTTACACCACATAGATTAGGATAAGTGTTTTCTACTCGGTTTTGATTATATTCCATGAATCTATCTTTGATTTTGTCATTTGAATTATGAATTTAAAAGAAATATTGTGGTTTAGTCTAAACATTCCAAAAGTGAATTTTTAAGTTTTGAACATCGATGTGAAGTCTGATTTGAGTGCAATTTGTATGGTTGGACTCATAATTGAATGGGTTGTCGAATTTTGTGAGTTTTAATTTGTCGGATTTTGAGGTATGGGCCCGGGTTTGACCTTTTGGTTGTCTCTGAGTAAATGTGTAAAAATTTGACTTTTATCATTTGGTATTGTTTTTTTAGGCATTATTTGATATTTTTGAGTTTTTTTGGCTAGTTTCGAGCCGTTTGGAGGTTGATACGTGTGTGATGGCATTTCTAGAGTATTGTTTAGCTTGCTTGGAATTGAATTTGGCTTGTTCGAGGTAAGTAACATATCAAAACTTGGATTTGAGGGTATTTAACCCTGTGAACTATGTCATTAGAGATGTATTGGGGTGACATGTGTATTGACATATAGGCAAAGAGACGTATTTTCCTCATGCTAATTGCTAAATGAAAATTCTTATCCGGTGTTGTGAATTGGAAATACAATTCTATTGATAAACTCATGTTTAGTTGATTTTCAGTTGTAATATATGGACTTGACAGTTATACCTAGAAAGCATCTCTACGTCTCCGTAACTGTGAATAAGCTAAGCATAATATCTTTTGAGCTATCACTTTTACCGCCTCCATTATATTATTATGGGTTAATATTGGCTATTGGCGCGGGACACTGACCTTCTTTCGAGCTCGTCACTTCTTTCAACCTAAGGTTAGGTTTGTTACTTATTGAGGATATGGGGTCAGTTGTACTCATACTATACTTCTGCACCTTGCATGCAGATTTTGGAGCCGATGTTGCTGTGTATGGCGGGAGCTAGCATTGAAGATGTACCTACGTTCTGGTTATAGCTGCCTCTTGTTATCTTTAGATTTATAAATCTGTTTATGTATATTTCGAACAAATGATGTATTTATTTGTACCTGCTTTATAAATTTAAGTCTTAGAAGCTCATGACTTGTACCACCAATCCTTTGGATTTTGTATAGAAAGCTCAATTAATTTATTTATTGATTCTCGTTATCCTATTTAAGTTGTGTTGTCAATCATTTGTCTTACCTAGCGGGTTAGGTTAGGTTCCATCATGACTAGCTGGTTTTGGATCGTGACAAGTTGGTATCAAAGCTATAAGTTCATAGGTTCTACGAGTCATGGGCAAATGTCTAGTAGAATCTTGCAGATCGGTAAGATGACGTCCATACCTATCTTCGAGAGGCAAGTTGGTATCATACCCATATTTATTTCCTCATCATGCTGTATTGATTCAACTCGAAGCATATCTCTTTGAACTCCATTGATCAAGAATTTTGATATTTGGGAAGTATCATGATCGTCCAATAAGAAGGTTTCAATTTTTCAAATGTAATTCCTTCCACTCACCCATATGTTATGTGAGCACTCGATATCAGTTGTGCATCGACAAATTGTGATTCCATGGATGAGGTACGAGATGTGTTTTTTGTGTTTTGGTGATAGACCAGTCTGGGGGACTTGAGGCCGGGTTTTGAACGCAGCTTGGGCACAGTGATTTAAGTTGTGTGAGTATGTGCTTTTGGACTTCAATGTTTGCTGGTGTCCCTCGGAGTGTGTCTAGCGGCTCGATGAGTGGTTGGGTAGCTATATGATGTGTATCATGTGACTGCAGTATGTGTTCGGATGGCTTTGACGTGATGAGAAAATTCGCTTGAGATGTGAAACGGACTATTGAATATGTCATGATATGCTGAACAGTCTCGAGATATGTGCTTGTCGAGGGGTCTTCAATATTATTTATTTGTGGAACGAAGTAGACTCTCATGCCTTGTTGATGAGTTCAGACTCAGGAAGATTAAGTAACTACGTAGTAGTTGTGGCTGTGAAAGGGTATTAAGAGATGTCAGTGTAAGGCTAAGCAAGTGGGTTATGGATGCATGATGCTTATGATGTTGTGTGGCGAGTTT